GATTGAAGAGAAGCATGAAGGGCCTGATCCCAGAGAACCTATCTTGCTGAGGAATGGAGAGATTGACGAAGAGGCGGAGGAAGTGTTGGGGCTAGCAGGGTCGTATGAACCAACGGAGGCTGGTAGCTTGCACTCAGGAGAAGGTCAAACAGCAATGGAGTCTGAACCGTTGGAGCGGCTGACAAACAAGCAGAGAAAGAGCTTGCTTGGGATACCAACTATCCCAACAACCCCTACGAGACCATTGGAAGTTGATCAGGAAGGTTAGTCTGCTGAGAAAAGAGAAGCAGAAGAACATGCTGAAGAGAGAGAGAGCAAAACAGCAAGGTTCGACCGTGAAACAAGCCGTCAGTCAAGTCCCAAAGCAGCGTTGTATTCCCCATTGTATGGGCGGCGTGAATCGAGTCAACATGCAGCATGGTGATGTCTGTTGGGAGGAGGATGTTGATTGGGAGTTGATAGAAGATGAATTGGGTGATTTTGAACACGATTTCTATGGTGAGCGACCTCCAAACTTGTCCCCAGAAGAGCTGAATGAGCTCGATGCAGAAGTTATGAAGGTTGAGATCGAGAAGCTCACGGCTATGGGAGTTGTACAAACACTGAAGGAGCAAGTTCATAGACCTCAAAAAGGTGTACGACTGGAGGTACAGAGAAGCAAGTGGAAGAGGCGATGTAGAGTGGTGGCTCGAGAATTCCGAGCAGGTCCCTCTACAGATGAGATTTTTTCGCCTACCTCTTCCTATGCCGTGGTCAGACTGTCTTTATTCTGTCATTTTTTCTTTGGATGGAAAGTAGCAGCTCTGGATATTTCCGATGCCTATTTGACTGTGGTGCAGAAAGAAGTGTGCTATGTGAAGATTTCACAATGGATGAAGGAACTGCTGAAATTGCCAGAGGATTCGCTTTGGCAGCTGAAGAGAGTGCTTCCCGGCCAGAGAAACGGAGCACAGAGGTGGTTCCAAGATTTTTCGCACCACTTGCAGGCACTGGGATTTACATCATGCAATGCTATGCCATCTGTGCTGAAACACCAAACGAAGAAGTTGGCTATCAATATTAATGTTGATGATGAGTTGGTAGTTGGAGAGACGGTTGAAGACATTGAATGGATGATCGACGCACTGAAGACAACTTATAAATTGCAGGTGGAAGGTCCAATGCCAAAAGAGCCATTAGGCAATGGTGAAGAGCTCAACTATTTGAAGAAGACTTATGCGTTCCAAGAGGACGGCATTTATGCGAGGCCCAATTCGAAGTTCACTGAGACTCTCATCAAGCTGTATGGTTTGCAAGATCGGAAAGAGAAGCAAGTACCTGAACATAGCTTGCTTGGGCATCCAGACACATCCCCAGAGCTAGACAAGAAACGGCAAGCTGATTTCAGAACTGGTTTGGGTACAGCGATGTACATGTCGCATGAGCGTTTGGACATACAACATTGTGTGAAAACATTGGCTGGATCAATGAGAACACCCACGAAACATGCTGAGAGATGTTTGATCCAACTTTGTTTGTACCTCAAAGGCACGGCAAATTTGTCATTTCGGCTTCCATACACACCAGTTGGAACAAGGATGTCAGGAAAGCTGAACAACAGGCCGGAACATGAAGTTGAAGACAACACACATGTGATGGAGGTATTTGGCGACAGTGATTGGGCTGGTAGTTTACACAGGAAATCTACAACTTCAGTGATTGTGTTGCTGAATGGACTTGTGGCCCTTTCGTACAGCAGAACACAGAAAGCTGTTGCATTATCCTCATGTGAGGCCGAAGTTCTTGCATTGACATCGGGTGCAAGCGAGGCAATTTTGCTGAAGGAAGTATGGTCATTTTTGATCAGTGGAGAGATTTTGTTAGAGGCTCGAAGTAATTCATCGAGCGGAAGACAATGGTTGCAACGAAGTGGACTCGGACGCCTCAAGCACATTGACGTGAGATTATGTTGGTTGCAGATGGCAATCCGGGAGAGAGTCTTGAAGGTGTTGCCAATATCGACCCAAGTATATTGCAGATTTGAACACCAAGAGGCTTGCAGCATCCAGAAGACATTTTCTCCTTTCATTTATGGGGGCGGTTCGTTTGAATGATGAGAATGAAGTTGTTGAGCAAGTTGGAGAAGGTGAACAGTTGAATTACTTTGCAGAACAGCAATGGAAGCAACAAGTTCGACAAGTGAGCCGATGGATGAAAGCACGGACAAGCAAAACATTGGTTCATTGTGCACTTCTTGCTCAGGCCTTTAATCTGAAAGGCTGTGGTGAAACGGAAGGAGAGTTGGGACAACGTGAACAGGACCAATTTTGGATGACAATTGCAATCCTCATTGTTATTGGATGTTGCAATTGGTTGTATCAACATTGGGAGCAAGTTGTAGCAAGATTCGGTCTTCGAGGCCGGAAACGGCGAAGGAGTGAGCGAGATGAAGAAGAACCAGAACCAGAAGCTGTGAGGCGAGTGGTTGCAAACGAGAATGTAGAGCCAGGGTCAAGTAGCATGGCTGGACCGATGACCTCAACAGGCCATGTGGAACCCCGTCCTCCATTGTTTCCACCGATGCCAATTGACCCGCCGGAGAGATGGGCACCATGGTCACCTGAATGGTTCACTTACTGGATGTTGGGCAGAGTTGAAAGAAGAGTCGAACGAAGAGCTGGGAGAATGACAGAACAGGAGCGAAAAAAGTATGAAAAGAAAAGAGAGATTTTAAGGTCAGTTTTGATGGTTCTTGAACAGCGACCAGGAGAGAGAGCCAGGCGGAGAGCACATCAATTTTGTCAACAGATGACAGATTTGTCAGTGGACGAAGACAGTCCCCAAGCGCCTGAGGTACCAGAACTTCCCGAGCCAGGAGCTGAACCTACAGATGCAGTGGGAGGTTCATTGAGCATTGGAGAAGAGAGTGGCTATTTTGATCAAGATCGTGTTCCCGGCAGAAGCTTGGAAGTTTCAAGTGAGGCGGCGAAAGCAATGGCTAGGCCTGACAGGGATGAAGAAGAGGAGAACGAGGAAAGTGAAATTGAAAATAGTGAGAGCGAAGATACAAGAGTTGGTAGGTACCTGAACGGCACGATGAGCGAGGTATCGGACCCGGAGATGTGGATGAACCTACATTATTTGTCATCTGGCTCCGGGAGTGACAATGCAGAAGAGCAGCCAAGCGGGTCGACAGGACATTGAATGTTGGATGTTGGTTGGACTTACAGTTTCAATGCATGTGGTAGGCTCGCTGACGCATCTGAACCAGCAGCCTACAATGGTAATGGAATGCTTTATTTCGGCGTAAGGCTGCGCCAGCTGAACCAACCTTACATTGATACACGTCATTTCTGGACACTACGAAGCATTTTGCGGTTTAGAATTCATGAAATCTTTTGTAGAAATCGTACTGAAAGTACCGGAACCGCATGTACAAAGGGTACCCTGCAGGCAAGGCAACAAGGGGCCTTAACCTATGTCGCATAGACGGTGCGATCCTTGTTGTCGAAAACAAAATTCGACTTAGCAACGTCGCAATTTTGAGGCGGCGTGTTAGACTTTGTGAACCTACTCAAGTGTAGTATCTGTTCATATCAGTCATACCGCTGTAGCGTGTGGGTCCAAAACAGGGGCGCTGCCTAACAAAATGAGAAAGACAACACCCTCAACACCAAGTTACTTTTTCCACAACATCAGCAATACCAAGAGAAACGACAAACCGCAGGGTGGGTAGACCAAGACTCTGCTGGACCACAAACAACATGAAAAAGGCCTGGGATATTGTGTGTACCAATAACCAAGGTCAGCCAAGACAACATTTCAACATGTATGATCGCAATATGAGAGAACAATTTATTGCACAAACAAAGCAATATCAACCACCCTTTCACAAATATCTATTCAGAAAGCAGTCGCAAGAATCGCCTCTCAGTGTGAATATCCTCAATGTGCATCCCAATTTGCATCTCAATATGAAATCACCTCACCTTCACACTTCATGCATTGGCCTATTTGATCGCAGTCAATGGTGGGGACAGTGAGTGTGCCCGTTAGCTTGTATATATGCATAGTTTCTGGAAGTAGGTTAGTGCCAACGGGGCCAACGACTTGTCGCCTTGATAGGTGGGATGGTTATGGCTTAAAAAAATATTTTTGTCATCCTTGTTTTAGTCAGAGGTTGAGGTCACAATTTCTTTACAACTACTAATTCGCTAAAATCAATATTGCACTTATTTATGGCTTTGCTTTTTAAATGAGGACACTCTATCCACTCCAGGATGTTTATGATTGCGTGAAGTGCATGTCACAGGCTCCCTATTTTGTTTCGTCCGAGCAACGCACACCATTTTGTGATGCGCATTCTTGCCACCACAGTTTTGCGTTTTTGGCAATGTTTTGTTCTTGGTTTGCACAATGCTGGACCCATGACCACGGAGTCGAGTCACTGAGGCCGCTTCCTTGAAAAAAACAGTTTATTCAATCCTTTCAACCGTATACTTGCACACTGGCGGCGAAGCCGACATTGGTTTTTGTTGGGTTTGTTGTTGCTCATCAATCGGACGTCAATTTTGCCCAAAAGTTGGAATTGAGTGGATTAGTTACAAAAAATACATCCAAAATTTTACATAACCGCAGCACTAACATTGAATCAGGCATTGAGGTTGCCACGTGTGCTTTATGGCGTGCAATGTACTTGTACTGCAGTATTGTCCATTAACGGTATCAAGGCGAAAATGTGGGAATCCGGGTTAGTTTGCGGGTGCATGCTGCGTGCCAGGCAGCGGAAGGACAAACATGTCAATTCATTGTTTCATGAATTTTTCGGCTCACCAACGCCTGTCAGACATGTCATATCCTGCAACCTTGCAAATCACGAGCATGCTGTTGCGTCTTGTGCAACTTTTTGTTTGACGTGGTTGGCAAAGCAGGTGACAAGATGAAACCACCCATATGAATGTTACCTGTCATTATCATTTGAGCCTCCAGACATCCCCATCATCCCCACATTTGTCAATTCTTTAGGGCCCCAATCCTTGGGGCATGGCGGCAAGATTGACCTTCATCGAACCGTGCCATTTTCGATGAGATGGAAATGGTTTGTGCAGCAACTTTTTGGAGGGCTTCGTCCAATTCCAGGCTTGGAAGGGGGATGGCGTGCTTTCTCTCTTCTTTTTAAAACGCCTTCGGCGTAGTTTGGTTGATGAGACGCTCATCCAAGTTTCGTTGCAGCAGAGTTTTTGTTGCTTTTGCCTCGCGGTGAAGTGGCCAGGTGCAAGCGCACTTGTGAAACAAGCTGGACATGATACGGCCAGTCTGTGTGGTGCTTCCCGCACAGACTTCCAGTCATTGCTGGGAGCATGTCCAGTTCCTTGACGCAACACACGTTCAGCTGATGTTTTTTGGGTGCATTCTACCGGGTGTGATTTGAAGGCAATGAGTACTTTCTTCTATCTCAACACAACAAACGTCCATGCCCCGAGCTCGCAAAGCGCTTGGCATCCGAGGTCTTGGTATACCGCGGGCTCATCAATCCAAAGCTCTGCCAAGAGTCGACGCAGATTCTCCTTGAAGGACAACTCAAAGTCCTTTTACACAAAATCACGGGTTGCGAAACCCAAACTTCCAAGTTCTAGAAGCCAGAAACCCACTGTTCCTTCACAACCTCGCCAGCCTGCGGATTTTTGTTGGTTTTGAGGACGCTTCGCTGAGTGGAGGCTCGGCCAAGATCCTGACGCTTGGGTGAAACGCTAAGCCTTGATTCGTTTTTTGCCGTGCGGTTGTGCAGGTGGAAGAGTCATTGGATACATCATCGGAACAAATCATCACCCGATGTCAGGGTTTTGGCCATACTGAGTGGTCTAGTTTCAAGTCAGCATGGTTTCGGAGCGTTTGGCACGGCCCTAGGATGCACCAGCCTCTGACTACACGAAGATTGGCTACACAAAAACCGATGTCCTGATCCAAGAAGGCTGGATTCAACTCTGATGGACATCCAAGATGCGAAGGACGATACCCTCCTTGAAAGAATAATGTTTAATGTAGACTCTGGATTAGCAAGCCCCCATATGAAGAGGATTTTCATATTGATCAAGAGGTTTTGCAATGCGTAGAGTGAGTGTTTTCACCACGTAAGCGGCTGGTCTTTCAGATGACAGGAGGGTCCTCCGAGTCGAAATCGGGGCGGCGTTCCATCCACGTTCCATCATCGAAACGACTTTGGAGAGTGTAGATTTTGAGAAAGATGACATCGAAGGACACCAATTTCCTTTCTGCTTTACACCGATCGATGCTTTCGAAGAGAGAAGAGCCGAATCGGATTCCATGGAATGTGACTGGGCAGGTTTTCGCATGACTGCGACAAGTGCAGCGCCAGAGAAATACATTTCCAGCGCTTTGGAGACGACCAAGCTCCTGCAGAAAGCCCTTGGAGGTGTGGTGGGCCTCAAGCAATGCTTTTTACACGGCACACATGTTCCATGTTCCCTCCTGTTTTTCTGTGCAACTTTTTGAGCCCCCCGGCGGCAACATGATGTAGCTGCATGTTTTCTTGCATATGCTTCTTGCTCGGAACATTTCCACTCATTTTCTGCACCGCACGCTGCAACCTTCACCACACCAAACAAAGTGAGCATAAAAACAATCATTGAATGTAATCCTTGAGGTGATTTCTTCCATGCTTTGGCCAGCAAGTTTGCTCCTTTGGGCATCAGCCTGCAACTGGAGCAGTGTCCATTGTCACAGCGGCCCTTTTTGCCGTGCGTGGTGCGGCGAATGGAACCAGGCTAGCGGCTAGGAGAAGCAGTGAGTCACGGGAGAGACTCTTTTCCTGGTGTAAGCTGTTCGTGTGTGCCTGGTGGGGTCCGATTTCTTTAGATGTTCATTCATGTCAGAACTTAGATAGAACTTTCCAAACCAACCACTTTCCAACAAACTACACCAGGTCTGAACTGCTCTCTAATATATAAACCAACTTGAACTTGGAGTCACGAATTATCCTCCTATTGTTATGCGGTTATGCCCATCTGTGCTTTTTAGTGTCTTTGCCCCATGCCCTCGTCACCTCAAAACAATGAAGCGAAGACGTCTCCTCGATGCATTTGGCTCTTTAAACAAAAGCGCCGTGAAAACGCCGCGACCTGCATCCACGGCGGCACCTCCGTAAGCCTCGCAACGGTGGCACCTCGCGCGGCTCCCGCGATCCGCGGTCCGACGACGGTCGGTCGTCCGACGGTCGATGCGCCTGTGCCGACGAGTTCGGCCTTCACTGAGAGCGGTACCGAGCTGCACCCACATCCCTCCCAATGCGGCGAGCTTCACCCAGTGAGTTCTATTGGCTATGCGTTGCCTCAGCCATGCAAAGCCATGCCACCCTACACAGTAAGTCATAATATGTTGTGCTTGTGTGACTCAAACTCAGATCGATTCAAACACAAGCTTTGTTTCCTGGCGATAATGACCTCTCCTCTAGCCTAGACATAATTCGCATATATACAGCAAATAGTACTTGCAGTTCACATGTGCTGTGGTTAATAAAGCAGCGCAGCTTCTGTGCGGGTGGATTTGCGTGCAACGCGCATTACATGCATTACACAGACCCTCAATCATGCTTTCGTCGACTGTGTTAAGAGCAAACATATCCGCTTTCTTTGGAGTGATCAGTAGTCTCCATGTGATTTGGCGACTTGCTCTCCTAAGCTGCACAGTGCCTTACTAGAGGTGGCCGCCGCAAAGAGGGTAACATACACATGGATACAGTTGTGCCTGGAAGCACCTTGTCTTTGAATGTGCGCTTTGGTGGCAATCATTGCACTCTCAAACATGTTTAAGAAAGATGGCAAAGGAGGTCGGTTATTGCCTGCATGCTGCTCATCCAGGTATTTGAATGTTCCGGAGATGTCTGGCGGAGAGCTAGTCCTTTATCCCATTCGCAAGGATTCTTTGCAGCGATTCTTGTGTTTTGGCTGCGCTGACATGTCCTTTCTTCGTTGATCAAGAGTGAAGGATTGCTTCATGAACGTAAGCCTGCTTGTTCCTACAAAAGTTCCCAATGGAGCTAGAAAGACTTTCACTTGCAATTCTAACGCTTGCTTTCTTTCGCATGCAGATGGATTTGCCCCAGACGTGAGCAGGTACGTATGTAATTTTTACATATCGCGGACAGTGACCACAGCTGAGACCACAGATTCTTTACTCCAAAGCTGAGAGAACTCGTGTGCCAAGGAACTCCCATTTCTTTGAGACCATTGATTTGCAAAACTTCTTTCCAGACAAAGAGTTCTACACGAAGGACTGCCATGTGCAATGTGCCAGTCTGGAGTAGAAATGCCACAGAAGGAGCAGATATGACACTAGCAAGTCACCGCGACATGCTCATGGTGTTCGTGGATTCTCATCCTCATGAAACATTTGAAGTTTGCAGAATTTGCTCAACCTACAGGCAAATTCTCCGATTATGTTTTGACTGAGTCGCGTTCAGCTTCGCCTTCTTTTTGGAGGAGATGCTGAAAGAAGTCGAACCGATTGTGACGACCTGAGCTGCGTTTTGCTCAGGTGATTTTTCCTGTGATCCCTCAGTATCAAACTGATACCTCGGTATCCAGTCTGCAGAGTGCCCGTTTTGCAGGCGGCGATGACAGGTCTAGGGACGTGCTCATCTCATGGCACAGACCATGTTTTCATCCCAAAATCTAGGTCTACTCTCCTGCCACGGGAGACGTGGTTTTCATCGACGCAGCCTTAGCTTCACCCGAGAGCATCCCCATAATTTGCCCAGCAAAACGAGAGCATGTTTTGCAGTTCCCTTTGTTGCAATCTGAACAAATTCATGCAGTTTGTGAGCGGGTATATAGCTAGCTAAGTAGCTTGTGGAATGCCTCTGTGCCTTTGGCTCGAGCCAGATATCATTTGGTTGAGATTGTTGGTGGAAGTGTCGCCAACTACCATGGGCACAATGGAGGAGAACAAAAGCAATGTGTTGCCTTACCTGGATTTCATTTGGTAAGGCCAAACAATTTGGCACAATTCATCCATTGAATGGGACAAGCTTGGACGGATCTCAGATCACGTTGAAACCGAGTGTGTGCGTAAGTCTGTGCTTAGACGTCTAAGCCTTTACGTGCCTGCAAAAGCTTGAGGAGCAGCTGAAAGCTTTGGAAGCACGAGTGGCCGCGCTTGAGGCGAGGAAACGGGGAGGACGAAACTTGCGGCTGACTGTTCTTTTCGAAGGCTGGAATACCCAATTCTTCGGTGTCGGCAGTTCCGGCTCCAAGTGTTCTTCGGTGTCGGAGTACGTCGTCCTTCGCCCTCCTCCTGGATGTTCGGTGGACGAAGGCCCCAGAGGATGCCGGTGTGCTGCCCGCACGTAAAGCTGGGACCGATGCGCAGATCATGAAGATGCTCTGCCCAAACCCTCGGGGTCTGTCGGAGCAGAAACTGCATCACAGAAACCGGGTGATATAGGCACACTTTTTGGGTGCCAGATGCACCAGGAAACACTGCTCAAGCCTGCTTGTTTCTTATTTGTTTAAAGCATTGTTTGTTTCGGCATGTGTTTGGCGGCTCAGTCTCTTGACCATTCTTTTTGCTGCTGAGGAAGGTGGCTAAGCGTTTGCAAGACTTTGAATCTCAGATAACGGCTCAGCTGAGCAACCTGCAAACTGACTTTGACAAAAAGTTATCCCATGTCAATCGAGGCAGGAAGGGCACACTGTTGCTTCAGTGGGCATCAATGTTCAGACCAAATGGATTTGTAGAAATCCTGTACACTTTGTGAATGGTCAACTTGCTGTTCCTCAACTGTGTGTCCAACGCAGAGGACATATGCTATTTACCATCGAAAAGCTGCTTGCAGGAGCTGCTGCAACAAAGCCAATTGATGGTGCTGCGGGTTCTGCTGGATTGGACACAATGGCCGAAGACCTGGACCAGTTGAAGTGTCTTCGCTTTTCAAGAGATCAGTTGGGTGCTGTCTGTGTCTGACACCTCCTCCGGGTAAACGCCACCCCGGAACGAAGCCGCCGTGCGACCGAACTCCGCAGTCGGACCGGTCCGGGGCCCCTAGTAGCTTCTTGTTACTACTTGTAAGGCACTTGTTACTACTAGCGTGGCACCTTGTTACTAGCGTCCTTGCTACTAGCAGTGCCCTTCGCTACTTCTTGCTAGTAGCCATGCCCTTAGCTAATAGTAGCGTCCTTGCTAGTAGCGATGCCCTTAGCTACTAGTACAAAACATTTTGTGGTAATTACAATTGCTGGAACCTTTTCGCTCAGCCACTCAGCAATTGCTGCGACATTGGATGTTTGCAAGGTATGATGTGGGAGAACTCAAGGACCTGCTGGGGAACAATAAAGGTGCCGCTGGCATGTTGTGTGCAAGATCCCGGCTTCTTGTGTTCAACAGGGTCCGCGCTTGGAGCTTCTTGTTCGCTCCAAACCGGTGTACTCCGCTGATTTCAAGCTGAAGCTATTGCAAACGCACACACACATATTATATATAATGATATATAGTTGAAATTGTTTGAAGGTGAAGTGAATCACATCCGCCGCATTGTCCTTGCATGCGAGAGGGAGTCTTGGATCAGAGTACTGAGGATATGCTGAATGCACACATCATGATTTACAGAAATCTGGTGCATGTTTCTTGTGCATGTTGTTCTTTGTGGACAACTCCGAATTGTACGATACACGATATATACGTAAGCTAAGAAGTCAGTTGATTCTGCCATGGCATCATGGCAAGACAAATTCTTGAAGCCCGTCACTGAGGACATGGAGGACTTTACAGCTGCAATGGACGCAGTCAATGTGGACTTGGATGAGTTTCTGAGCAGATATTGGCTAACGTGGTTAGCGTATGTTAACGTGAGATTACACCTGAAACCGAAGAGCAGAGATTCATTCGTTCCTTCGTTCCTTCGTTCCTTCGTTCCTTCGTTCGTTTGCTCGTTCGTTCGTTCGTTCGTTCGTTCGTTCTCTCGCTCGTTCGTTCGTTCGTTCATTCATTCATTTCATCCAATGACTCTCTCCGAAGAAGTCTCTCCGAACTCGAACTCTCAGGATGCGTGCTCGTGTGGATGCCACCCACTCGATTATCACCAGCCGCCAGCGCGTGGAAGCCACCATGACGGCAGAGATCTCCACCATGAGGCCACGTCCGATGCGACCCGTCCGTCCGTCGGTGAGCGGACGTCAGCTGGTGCTGGTGCTGGTGCTGTGCGGAGCCTGCTGGTGCTGGTGAATCCCTGTGCTCGTCCTTTGCATGGATGTGAAGGGAACGTTCGAGCATTTGGTCAGACCCGAATTATGACCGCAAGACTTCACTCAAAGGTAATGAGGATTGAGAAACTGCTAAAACAATCTAAAACACCAAAGGGTTGGCGTGAAGACATTTGATTTGGTCTGACATGTCCGAAGGCTTGATATCGGCGACATCCAAGAGGCCCTGAAGAACCACGACTCCTGGATGGAGGATGTGTCCAACACCTTGCAGCAGATGCAAGAGAAGGAGGAAAACCTCACGGAGGATATCATCAACCTCAAAAACGAGATGTGCACCAAACTGGACACGAAGGCTGGGAGACCTTGGACCATTTGGGACCAAAGAAAGAGCCTTCAAGGACACTGACACCATGCCATAAAACTGGCTATGCCATATGCCCCTGGTTTCAAACTGACCAGTTGCTCCGATATTCTCGAAATCGTATGTCCCTGAGTCCGCGGGTTCGAATAACTAGATGTTTCCAGACGTGTAGATGTTGAATAGTCCAATCCCTCAATTGGGTAGAAATACTTGATTCTAAGAGAAGCTATGGGTCTGAGGCTCAAAGACGTTCCTTTCTCAGTTCCTTTCGCTGTTGAAACACCATTTGCCGGTTCATTTGGCCATGGAATCGTCCAGAGAAGGACAGACATTGAGACAGTGGAATGAAGAGTTGTGAGACTGAACAGAAATCCTCCCTTGGATTCCCTTGGAATAGTCAACTCCACAGTTCACTCACGGGTCCCTGTCCGGACCAGTGGTTGAAGCGAACGAAACATCTTATTTGTCGAACTTGTTATGCGGGTTTGTTTTCGCCAGTGTTCGGCCAGTTTCATTTTATTGAAGCTTTTCAACTCTGCTTTGTAACGGGTGATTGCAAACCCTCCCAATCCAGAACCGAAGAGCCTCTGTGTTTCATTGCAAAAAGTGTGAGGTGGACAACGTGGCCTGGAAGGAGGCAAATGATGACCTGGATGCTGCAATCAAGACTGTTGCATGGCTGCTCTTAGACATTGAACGCCAGAGATGGACATACAGCATAGTCACAAATTTTAGCACCAGCTAGCTGGAGACGACTTTGCCGCGCATTCGCAAAGCCTGGACGTATATTTTGCTAATGCACAAGAAACAATGTAAGATCACGCATTGAATTGCAGGTCCCCAGGCAGGTCAAGCTCCCTGGAGTCCAGTTGCAGTACCCATTCACCCTCACCCCAACTCACCTGTTTCCCCTCGAAGAACATGAGGCTGTTGAGCTTTACACCATGCCCCGCCACCGAGGTCCGTGACATGGTGTCATCCCTTCGCTTGGATGTGGATGCCCGCCGCCGCAAAGTGGATGAGATCCTGGCCACAGTGCGTCACCAGGATGAAGAGTCAACGCAGGTCTGTTCTAACTAGCGAAGGGCAGAGGCAACGGCCTGCAGTGCCTGCAGTGGAAGGACGGGAGGGTTCAAAACTAATTGGACTTGTTTGGTCCAAGCTGGTTTGAGGATGCCCACCAGTTTTCACGACCATGCACGAACAAGACCTGGCGACGAGGTCATGACATCACTGCTGTGGAGACCAACCTAGAGGAGTCCAAGGCGAAGATCACCAGTGACACTGATCAGGCGCGTTCGAGGGCCCGTCTCCGAGTCCTCCGCGTCTCCTGGGTCCTCCACGGTGCAGGACGATCACTTGTTGAAACACTGGCTCAAATTGGGTGCCTGTAGCCTGTGTTCTGGTTTACATACGGTCTACATGCCAGTCGATGCCAGCTCTTGCTGACCCCACGCTCTTCAGGCGGTGAATGCCCTGAATGGTCGCATTGACTTCACGAACAAGGAGGGTATTTGGCCGTTGAGGTGATCACCGCATTTCGGGTGGATTGGCTCCCGAAACTTGCACCAATTGTGTGGGAGTCATTCATGAAACTATCAAGCTTAGGGAGTCACTGCAGCCCGGAGTTGTTCCAAGAATGGACTGAGCAGGTTCGGGGAGTGTTCAAGTTTGTTCCAGCCAGAAGTCTTCAGAAATTTGCCATGTTGGAAGGAGGAATTTTTGTTCGTTCAGCACATTCCAGTTTTGTTTAAGGGTCCCAAAAGTGGAAGTTTCTGAGCTGGTTTTGGAAATGGACATAGTGTTCCCCACTGGAACTGGATCAGGAACTGGAACTGGAAGTCCCCTCCACCAAAAAAACCTTTTCTGATAGCAATTGCAATGCAGTTCGAGAAGTGGAACTGGATCCGGATCTAGCACTGGAACTGGATCTGGAACTGGAACTGGATCTGAAAGTGCAACTCCCCCCCCCCCGAAGAAATATTTCGTCTTTACAAGAGGCATTGCAATGTAGTTGTAGAGCTGTCACTGGAACTGGATCCGGATCTAGAACTGGAACTGGATCAGGAACTGGAACTGGAAGCCCCCCCCCCACGAAAAAAATATTAGTTCGAGAACTGGAAGTGGAACTGGATCCGGATCTAGCACTG